GATAATATATGCAGCACAAGTAAGGGCTCAATTAAGGCTGTTTTGAACATGAAATTTTTAAAGAAAGCCCAAACAATTGACGCCGAAGATGAATAGCATCCAAAATTTCGCATGTTCTTATATGTTAGCCTGTTATACCTCAGTTGTGCAGGCTGAGGCATTTAATTTACGTTGTTCTTTAAGCCCCAATATACGTTCTGTTCTTATATGTTGACATTTGTGAGCCAGATTTCGAACTTCGATCTCGAATTGAGCATGTCCTTGTTGGCCACGTCAGCTGGGCTTGAAAGAAAAGAAGGGGCTGGGGAAATAATATTGTTGGTAAGCGTTCAAAGTCTTCCAACAATAATTCAAGGCACGAAATCATCTACATAAATTCAATTCAGTTTTTGCATTGTCTCCTTCATGATAAGACAACTGTGAAACACCACGCATTCAGCGCTTCACCAAGTTAGCAAAAATGAACAATTTCATGTTGCTATCTCATAAGAATATGCTTAGGGACTCTCTGTAACGTTTTCTGTGTAATTTTTCTTCAAATTAATCAAAAATATTTCAGAAGTATTCTAAGAATATTGTAATCGATTCGCACTCAGACTTCAATATTCTCGTTAGCTTCACACCCAAAATTTTGCTATTTTTACAGTTCTAACTATAATATAGTTCTGTAATTTAATCACAATTCTTCGAATTTTTTCTCTTTGTCTTCAAAGCACCCCCCCCCCCTCAATTCGCTATGCAGTTCCCACCCATCATTACTAGAATTAGCTGAGTTTCAAAGCTCTGTATTTCCACCAGCGCAGGAGGATGGGCCAGACGGCAGTCGCGAGAACTAGCAGCGCTGCAGTCTGATCTTGCGCTACTCTCGGTGCATCGTCTGCTACGGTGGCGTACCGCGGCAGTTTGCTGCGATGTTCCTCGCGCCGGCTTCCCTGTTGTCCTGTTTATTTATTTATTTATTAGAATACCCTCAGGGCCCGTTAGGGTATTACAGAGGGGGTGGGTACAACATATATAACACACAAGAAAAAAAGACAAAATAAAGAAACAAGTATCAGATGCGCAAATCAGGAAGGCTATCGAACTTAACCATTCATCATGCGCTTCCAGTCGACATTTTCGCGTCGCATTTGTGGACTGGTCAAGGTCTCCTGTATAGATTGGCCCAGATGTGTTGCTCATTGCATGTTGGCTAAGAATTGATGTCCTGCCTATATTTGTGCAGTCTGCATTCGGTTTAACCATCCAGTACAGAAAATTCTACGTGAATGAGCATTTTCAGCGTAAAAATTTTATGACGACCGCTACCATTTTAACCACTGTCGTCTTGCTTAGACGAAAAATGGCCCAAAACGTTTGTAAAAGCCTCAAACAAGTTGACCTAATGGAATGCGAAAATGCTCTATAAAAACAATACTCGTGTCCCCTACTAGTTATGAAAATAAAAGACTTTCTCCAAAAAACAGTACCCGTGCTTCATTCACACTGTTGACCAGACAAGTCTTCGCGACGGCTACCAATCGATAGCAGAGTGCAAAATGTTACAGCAACCTCACCTCCTTTCTCGCATTTTCCACCTTTTCAGAAAGTTTCTTATTAGTTTTCTTGCAGAAAAAAAAAAACTAATACTATTCACGAACAATGTTTTTTAAAACATAACCTTCATGTTCTCATGATGAGCGATACAACTAAAAAGATGTAGTGGCAGCCACTCCAACTTTTCAAGGACAATCTAAAACAGGTCATCAACCTGGGGGTTTTCATGAAAAGCCTCTCGACAGTTTTTCTCAATTGCTTTTAATGTAGAAAGAAGGCCGTGTAAGGAATGATCTAAGCAGCCTTCTTGAAGACACCTCATCTGAATGAGTACACTTTCATTTGGTTTGGGTGCGCCTGCTCCAGGGGTGCTTGTGAGAGATGCCAGACGACCTCTTTGCATGTTGTCACATATTCAATTTTTTTACCAAAGTACTTACAGATGCAGTACACTCATGGCGGGCTTCTTCCTGGTGCACTTCGCTGCACCGAGAAGTTACACCGATATGTACCACCGTTACCTGCTCTAAAGTTCAGAAATGAGAACACTGCGATTGAGAAAAATACTTATTGCTGTAATATGAGGAACTGTAACAAAAACTGGTCACTGGCAGAACACTACCACTTACATACGCTTGTGTTGGTTAATAAATATCCACTGCCTTTCAGGCAGCGAGATGGTTGGCAATTGATCGAATGTAAGTACCTTGAGAGCGTTGCTCGTCATATTCTTTCGTCTTGCTGTTTTATTTTGGCGGCTCCTCCAAACTGGGCAATGAGCATTTGAGGGGCGCCATGCATTTAAGGGAGAGGGGGAATTCGCGATTTGGTCATGAACATTTCGGCTTCAATATGCGGAATCGAATCGCTGGGAACAAGCCTGGATAGGTGCCGGGTGCGAACTCCCACTTTTCACGTGAGATCAAGACTTCTTGTCCAGCAAGACATGATGGTAGTGCGTTATGATGCCGTCGTTCTCACACTGAGCATCACAGACTTTGTGTTTGGCAGTGAGATTTCTATCTTTGCGACGCAAAGCTTAGTACCACCTTTTGAAATGCGCCGGATTTCTTCGGAGGTCTGTCACAGTCAACAGTAATTGGTTTATACCTCAATCAAGACTAAATGATGGCATGCGATTGATTCACTTTACTATGCCTGATTTAAAAGTTCTATTGTAGTAACATAGTCTTAAATTGCTTCTGTCCTCTGGTTACTCTACCGGGTTATTTTAGTTAGAGGCTAGAACTACATTTCATCATGTGCTTTGATGATGCTTCCAAGTTAAGTTGCAGGATAAACGACTGTCTCTTCACCTGCACTTATAACTTTTATGTATTGTATATTATTTGAATGTGACAGTTTCAACGAGCTCGTTTCACCGAAATTCCCATGTCCGGAGTCACTCTCAGTTTCTCCGGTTGTGAGTGAGAAGACATCATCTAGTTCGTGACGAAAAAAAATCAAGAAACCTGCCAATAAAAACAAAAAAACTTCAGTACGATTGCGAATCGATCCCAGGCTCTCTGCATGGCAATCAGGTGTTATACCACGGAGGCACGCCAATGGTCAAAACTGATTCGGAAAAAAGAACAATGTGAATTTCACGTAGTAGAAGCTCTCATTAATATTGTGTCCAGCCAAAAAAGTGAAGCCTTATGTTTACACTTCTTTTGTTCATGTAGTAGAAGGAATTTCTTCAATCCACGTAATATTAAGTGTAGAAGCATAGAATCCCGTCAGGGGCGTCTAAACATGTGAAATGCACGAGTGGGTGTGAGAAAAAATCAGCCATTACAGGGCGCTCAAACTTATGTTCGCATGTTGCGATACGTGTGTGTAAATGTTGCTGATTCACAAAAGGAACAATTATGATGCAGTGGGCACTTCGCAACTGTACTTAGAGTAGACATTCTACAATAGTTTGCACCCACAGTTGTTCGTTCCCTCACGACATGGTTGAGGCTTATACCGAGACGGAAGCTAGGCTAATAATTGAGAAGGTTATTCGCAAAGGGCGTAGTTATGCTACTGCGGTCTCTACTCTTGAAGGCGAAGTTCAAGTGTTCTCTGACTTTTGTAATTGTTGTGTTTGGAACTGTTGTGTAATTGTTGTCGCACAATATACATAATACTCAATGGCATCACCTTTGCCATATCTGGTAATTGCTACCGCATGTAGTAATAATAATAATAATAATAATAGAAGAATAATTTTTATATTCACTACATATGAATTCTCTCGGGTAGCCTGCAAGGTTGGACAGCAAATTTGCTTACAATCGTTCGTCTGCTCGCCTGTCGCCGCTGGGCTAAATAGATCTGAGGCTATGTATATGAGGATTCCCAAGCTGCTTATAGCACCTTTTAGGTTGGCCCACGCCACTGTGTACCATGTTTACACAGAAAATAAATAATGAATAAACAAACAAGTGAATGAACAAGTTGCGCGGAGCGGAGTCGTCATTGCGGTCGCCGCTCTTGGAGACTGGCGCAAAGCTAGTTCGCATACCTCAATGTAGATAAATCTGCTCCTCCTCACTACGCCTCATACATGGCGAACCCATTTTCGTTGTACTACGCAGTGCGAAAAACAGTCCGAGAAGTGATGTGAGAATAGAGCGCACCATTCGTAGTAGCCGCTTGAACGTTGCCGCTACTGATCACAACAAGCGTGTCCCGCGTCGCTGGAGCAAGATCGTACTGCAGGGACAGTAGTTTTCGTGACCGCCACGCGACCCGCCTCTCCGACGGAGCTTTCAAACTGAGTTTATTCTAGTAACATTGGCTTCTGCCTGCTGTGTCGGCATTGTGGAACTTGGCCCCCTTTGTGAAAAGATTGCTAATCTCTGCATTATAATCTTCTTACTGCTGTCGTTTTTGTTAGTGACATCATTGAACTATCTGTAATATTATTCGGAAGCATTTGTTCTAGCTTTTCTTGGAGCTTAGTATGTGCTAAACATTGGGTTATTTCTCTATCATGTTCTTTGCACTCACGTGAACTTGTATTTTTAAGGATTCTCAATTCCCTCTCACTACATCACACCAAGCAGTGAGAGCCGTGTTGTGAATGAAGATAGTGAAATGGTGCAGAACATCATCGCCTTGCTCTATTACTGGCTCACTCATACATTTCAATCAGTCATCCACTATGGAGTCTATGGTTTTGTCTTTTTGCTACAAGAAATTGTTCGTCAGCCTTTGTTGCTATTTGACGACAGCTTAGACACTTTTGTAAGCACCTCTCTCTGGGTGGCGACATCAGTGTTGTCAAAATTTTTAAGAAATTCTGTCAGCAAAAGACTGAATATCAAGTAGCCAGCCTTTCAGTTTAAAACCATAGCTTACGAGAGAGCTTTGGTATACGGAACTAGCAGCGTGTGGTGACACATTTGGTTTCGTCTGTCATGAGGTTTTAATCTGCCGTGAGATTCAAAGCACCCCTATATTTTCAATCGCAGATTTGCTGTTACCACTGGCCGGCCTGCATGACATCAGTTGTGGATGTTCCCGGAGCTGTGCCGACAGGACTTAGGAGACTGAATTGCAGTGGAAGGAGCCCCTTGCTTGGCCTGCTAAGCAAGGTAAGATTCTTAAGTTTTAACCTGATACCTTTCTTTTCATTACATTTCAGAAATTAATCTCACACAAGTGCTGCGAGTGGTGGGATATTTTGAAATGTTGTAATATCTTACATGGTTTTTCATCTATTGCAGGCAAGCCATTTTGCAAAGAACATACCTATAATATATCCATTATCTCACCTATAGTCCACTAGTTTTTGCATTAGACCAATAGTTTTGTAAAAACCAATGTGAGCAGCTGCAGCACTTGGGTGCATTGGGTACTCTTTTACTAATGTAGACAATACAATTTTATTTAGTGTTAATTGCATATGCACTATCAGTTAATTTAAGCAGTCAACATGGTAAGGGCCAGTGAACTCGTCCGACTACTTGCCAATAAACTAATTGTATCGTGTGGCGAACGCCCTGCACGGAGAACACGAGAGACGGCGCTGAAGCGCTGGCTGACACGGTGTACGCAGCAGCCGGTAGCCAAGCAGGAACTCCGTTTATGTGCACAAGCAAGCTACTAGATACATATGTAGAATGCCCACTGGGGGCCAGAAGATTGATTCCCAAACTGGAACCGAAACTCAGACACCACATCATCCGCCCCTTGAAATAAATATGATGTGGGGTCCTCCATGCAACCAATGCACAATAATACAATGCACAGAATACACAGAAGAGTAAAATATCGAACAAGATAACACATGAAGAATTACACAGCAAACACAAGAAAATGGAAAGGTAATGTACACTTGAGAAGGAATAACACCACCAATAACACAAGCACGCACTGCACAGAGCACAACAAAGGATATGAATGTACAGCACAATATAAAATCAAGCAAGCCACACGAAAGCAAGGCACAATGTGAAATATACTGCCCATCATCCTCTCCCCGGAGAGAGGATGTCCGCATAGTCACTGTAATGTTTCAGAGTACGGCGCTGACGCCTGTAGTGGTGCCATTTCAATGACTCGCGTCTCAAGGGCAACCGCCAACAACAGTCCAGTGGAGCGTGAGAATAGGCCCATGTACCCTCCTTCCAGTGCACTTTTGGCACAGTAGAGACTGGAACAATCATGTTATGAAGGTTATGAAGTTCTGATGGGGCATGGTTCGGCGCCACCGATGCAGGGGCTGTGCAGAGAGCAGGAATGGGCCCAACCGGTGCAGGCTTGACTGGCCGAAACACCTCCGTTGCACGCAGAACAGGGACCGCCTCTGAAATCCCGGCCGGCAAGCTCGATGGATGCATTTCCGGCGGGCTGAGAACAGAACGAGCATCCTGGAGACTACCACCAGCCGAAAAAAGCACAGCCGGGGCGGCAGCAGCAGCAAGCAGAACGGGAGTAGCGGGCACAAGCGAAGTATGGATGGCTGAGACGCGAACTGGTGAAGTATGGTCAGCAGCAGCAGACCCGACCAGAACAGCCATCCTAGCAGTAGAAGTAATCCCACTTGAAGCAGGTAGAGCCATGGTACGCTCAACTGCTGGCAACACGGCAGCAGCAGGCGCATCAGGAGCATGGCCAGCTGGGACGTTAACACATGCAGCACAAGTGAGCACACGCTCAGTCTGGGCCACAATCGTCGCAGTATGGGAAGCCAAAGTATGGCCCGACCTGTCAGTAGGTGCATCCCATGTGGATCGGCAGGCGCTTCCGTAGTGTCCTCGACGTCCGCACCGCAAACATGTTCGGCTCGTGGCAGGGCAAGCGGCAGCGTCGGCCCAGTGCTGTGACAAACTGCAGCAGAAGCACGCTCCCACGCGAGTCGACAGCGATGCCGGAGAAACCGTAGTCGGATGTGCCGGTAACCGAGGGAGCAGTCGCAGTCGTCGAGCAGACGGCGCGGGCTTGCGAAGCAGTTGGAGAAGGAGGAACGCTGTGAATGGTGGAAGGAAGATCGCCGAGTAGCGTCTGTCGCGACGAAACAGCATCGCTTGAAAGGGCATCCAGCTGCTGTAATGCGCGATTCGCGCACTCCTCTTTCATGGCGAGATCTAAGGCCTTCTGTATGGAGAATTCCGCTCCCATCTTCAGAATTTTTCTCCGCAGATTCGGGGACGCGATTCCTTCTAGCAATTTGGTCGAATGCCAGTATGTCAGTACTCGCACCGAAATTGCAGAGTCGAGCAAGCCATTTAACTTCTAGAATGTATTGCACTGCTGTCTCGGCCGTTTTTATCGTAGCGTCTTGAATGAGGCACGCAGGCACATCGAATCGACTTGCTCGTCGAAAATCGCGTCGAACTGCTGGAGCGTTGCAGCATACAGATCTTGCATGGCAACCGCCGTGACTGCATGGTCTACTGCCGGAATCGGTTCATCCTCCACAGCAAGCAGGTAGGAGTTGAAACCTTCAATGCACAGCGCGTTCAGTAGCAACGCCTTCTTGTGCTCCTGCGTGGCGTCCCTGGCAGCGGCATCGGTGTAAGCTTGAATAACCGGACGCCACTGTCGCCATGGCATAGGAGGCTTATCGGTGCACTGCAGGAACAGGAGCGGATGTAATGCAGCACACATCCTTCCGTAGGAAGGTAGCCGAACCGGAGGACCGAGTCAGACGCGTAGCCCAGTATGCATGGTCTCAGTGGTCACAAACTGGTGATCCGCAGAAAATACCGCATCGGTGGGGTAGCTTGCACGGGTGCTGAGTCGACAGCACGAGGAAGCAGGCTCGATGCCACCTTATCCCATGATGCACGTGGATTGCAGATGCTCGTTGCCAAAATGTAGTGTCGTGCGGCATGCGCACCACACGAAGAACACAGGGCACGGCACTGAAGCGTCGAACGACACGGTGTATGCAGCAGCCAAGCAGGAGCTCCGTTTATGTACACAAGCATGCTACTAGATGCATATGTACAACGCCCTCTGGGGGTCAGAGAACCCGTTCCCAAACCAGAACCAAAACCCAGACACCACACTAATCTTTGTGAACACGTAGGTATTGAGTGAAGCTTCTATGAGTTAAAGATCTCATTGGTGGCTGCGGTGTTACGTGCGACAAACTGACAAGTGCATGGAAATCACAGCATGAACAAACAGGTGCTTGGAAGGTATGCTAGCCAGGTGTATATTTGTATGCGTTATTTTTCATCAACTGATTCTCTCTCGGTCGTGGGCTTGTGGCCAATCAGCCGCCTCTGATAGAAAAATATGATTTTTCAGTGAGGTCACGTGTCCTTTCACATTACGGCAGTACATAATTTTATTGTTACATTTCATTGTTTAATATATGGCAGTGGATGTTTCCCGTAGCAACAGAAATATTGTGGTCCTGAGTGCCTGGGTGAATGTCTGATTCCTGGCATGGAGGAAGAAAAAAGTTAGGGTGAAATAGAAAGAAAAAAAAAGGTAATTCAGAGTATCGTGTGTCTAGCTTCGCTTTCTGCCATATTGCCATTTTTTTCAATCAGGAAAGGGTCTTTAATTCTTCTTTAATTGCTAACTTGGTCTTTCTTACAACTGGAAACATAGATCCCCTGAATGTTTCAAGCTAGTGTATTTATTAAAGATGAAGCCCATATACGTATAGGAATGCCGTTTTGAAATTCAGTCAAAATGTATCTATGTTATTGTCATGGCACCACGAAAGTGCAGGTGACAATGTCATGAACCAGAATATCTATGGGGTTTTGAGGTAATGTCTCTTTGCCAGTTTTTTTTTATTCATATAGTTTTGTTTGCTGATAGGTAGAGCATTAAGTTGGCTCCAGACTAGCAAAAGTATTATCATTCCTTCTACGTGTCCTTTTAAACCCTGAAACTATACAGCACAGGTAGAAAAGCTCAAGAAAATTTTGTTAAAAGTTGGCTAGCAAGATAAAATTAACGACTTGTCACATAAATTTTCAAATCACTTTTCACACGAATGTTTTATGAATATACAGAGGGCTCAACCTAAATGAAAATTATAGGCATAGCCTTAGCAGACAGGAAGAAAGCAGAGTGGGCAAGTGAACAGACGGGTGTTCATAATTGAAACCAAGCGGAAGAAATGGACATTTTTGGGTGCATAATGCGTAGGAGAGATAAGCACTGTTCATTAAAGGTAGCTGACTAGATTCAAAGAGAAGGCAGACGCATCAGAGAGAGACAAAAAACTAGTACAGGGCAGATGAGACTAAGAAGTTTGCACGTATAAGGTGGCAGCAGAAAGCACTATACCGGGTTGATTGGCAGATCATGGGAGAGGCCTTTGCCCTGCAGTGGCCGTAGTCAGGCTGATGACAATGTAACCTTTGTAACGCATGCACACGTAGACTAAAATAAAAACAATAGGTTGGGAGGTGAGAGTTAAGAGAAGGCATAAAAAGTGTCGAGCACGTACTCTGCAGGTGCTTCAGGCAATTCTGTGCCCCTTCCCCGAAATTAAGCAGCATGCACACACATTGCCACTGCCTCTCCTCATGCACATTCCTAAAGCACCACCTAAAAAAGGACTGAAAATGACCACCTCTCTCATTGTATTTTGTTATTTCTTTAGAAATATCATGGTGCTGGCACCAGAAATGGCCCAGTGATATCTTTTAGTGATCTACGATTTGGCCCTTTTACAAAGAACCGAAATTTCAGGACTTCATAATGTCAAGTCGTTTTCGATCAGATTCGACACAGCTCCCATAAAATCCCCTGTATTGGGAGCCTTGCTGTTACATAGCAACTGTGGGACCAATCCTGCATTGTACGGTGCCGACCGGCTGTTCAAGAAGGCCCAGCCAGCCATGTTGATTTTTCATGTGGCTTAGTTTTGTCTGCTTGGCTCTTTAATGATGGAATTGGCCGCCAAAAGCACTGTGAGCGAAATCTGTGATGGATTTTTAGGTTCCGCCACCAGAAACATGACCTCCAACAACTGTATTTTTTCATCTAAACATGGTGTATGACCAGTTCTGGCACTCAAAATTGTGTGTTTTGCATAAAAGTACACACTTAGAGATTAGTTTTTCTTTCCCTTAGTCATTCTCTTTGCTGATCCGATGGCTTTGTCAGCCATAACTGC